ATCTATCTATCTATCTATCTATCTATCTATCTATCTATCTATCTATCGGATTTATTTGATTACTTCAGATGTTTTACTTCCTATTTTCAGAGGACATTATTGGTGTAGGGGAAAAATAAAAATCATCATAGATGTGACTGTTTGATAATGACTCATGTACTCTGACTTTATATGACTCCTGTTCCCTTAAAGTGCTTACCATTCACTGTTCACAGGATATCTTACCGTTAAGGAAAGTTAAGACTTGCAGTTCTGGGGCCAGTGTTTTGCTACGTGGTACCATTCACGTTCAGCTGTGCTGGGTCACTCTCACTTCATGAAGTTTGATTTCTCCTGTTTAATAATTGCCTAGTCCTTAGTTCTTCAGACAGACTATCCTCTTCCTCTTACATAGAGACCACAACATTGGCCTGACCTTTTCAAAAATAAAGGATGTGTTGTGAGAGTGTTAGTTTGAGGTCATCTTGTAAAGACATTTACTGCTCACACATCACTTTTAGAGTTTATCCCCTATTTTTTTATAACCAGTTGAGTAACCTCATACTTAGAATTTCTTCTTTCGTTTTTGCTCAGCGCTCCTTTTCCAGTTGTGAAATCTATGAATTCCCAAACCTTTTTTGTGATGTCAAGGGGGCAAGTTAGTATAAATCAACCCACCTTAGAGTACTCTGGCACTCTCACCTGAGTCTACCGAGAGCCCTTTGAGCTTGAATTGAATTATTCATATAACATTTGCATGATTTTAACCATTTCCAGAAGTTCAGTTGTCGTTTGTGAGTACACTCATGAATGAAAATGGATAGAGTACTCGAGCATTACAGCTGAATTTGACAGAGTCTCAACATTTTCTTAACATTTTCTTTACGTAGAGCTTGAGGTCCACCCTCCTTGAAGAGAGACGGAGGTCCAGACAGTGTCCGGTAAGGTTCTGTCCTGTTCACATGTGTCCACAGTTTCATTAATTTCGAATGATCTGAAAATGTTTTTGGTGTGGAAACAGTGTGTTTAAAACTGGATCTGTTCTTCTGGAATAGATAGTTATGATTAAATAAAAAAAAGAAGCATAAGTGTCCACAGGATGACATTGTCATTTATCTTTGCTGATTAAGTCAAAATTTTATAGATTTAGATTATTTTCTGTGTTGAAACTGTTATTTCAATGTTAATTCCTGTGTTTTTTTTGTTATTTCAGTGATTATGACATGGCATTTTGAGATGGCATTTTAGTCACTTCTTAATCCTAACAGCATTATTTTTAATAGTAGAAAGCATGATGTTCTGTTCCCTTTTTTTTTCTAAAGATCCTGTAATTTTCTTATTCCAGCCCTGATTCATTTGAAACATTTTCAATATTCAAATCCTTTCAAACGGGGGCACACAGTTGTAAGAGATCAGATCATTTTCAGACAAATGTGTTCTGTGGCTTTTTGTTTTCTGAGCCTACATCCACAAAACAGAGTGAAATATGCAAGTGGTGTATCTCTACAAACCGTAGAGTCCGTTTCGAATTGAAAACGTGAGTTTTATGAACCAATTCTTCAGAAACAAAGAAAAACAAAACGTAACACTTTTTTACAACAACCAAGAGGGCGCAGAGAATATCTCAGTAAATTGTACTGTGCCATAAAAATGTGAAAATATTTGGCAAGCAGTTTGATAGTATCTGAAAGTAGCATGTCTGAAAAATAGGGATTAAGATTTTTTTTTTTCTCCAAAATTCCAGAAATGGTCGCTGCGTAAAGCTGGCTGTCCAGAAAGGGCTGTGCTACTTTGACAAAAAAAGGAACAAAAAACAGAAGGAGGGATGGTTCTGAACAGTATTTGAACTATATTACAGTGTAGGTAGATAACAGAGCGGAAAGTGATTGTCATGGTGATACGCCATTTCGAGAAACTGGTACAAATGGACAAGAACCCCAGATATATGAAAAAAAATTGGACAAAATGCTGACAGTTTAAAAAAAGAAATTCTAGATAAAAAAGATCGAGATCATGGGAGGTGGAGAGAAAGGAGTGACGAGAAACTGAGTCGCTTTATTGGAGTCACAGCCTCTTCATTAGGGAAAAACCCTTGTTTTTGCAGACCTTCCCAGTCTTCATCCCACTGACTGCCCGTCCACCCTACCAGCTGGCCAGATCTTGAAGAAATTTCCATAGTGAGGTAAGCCCAATTCATTCTTATATGAGATAAAATGAATAATGTAAGAAATACATGTTTTCGTTGTTAACGATGAATGTACGGCACAAAATAGGATAAATAGATTAAATTATTCTATATAATTCTGTAGCTTTTATTGTACTATACTACTTTAGTTGGTTTTACAATTATCTTTATGCGTTACATCTAAATTGAACATGTCTATATATAATTGTGATTATTATGATCATTTTAATGAGAAATTAGACAATAGAAATTAGAGCCACTGGAGACGTTTTCGAAACACAAATTCTTTTAAGAAATGTCAAAGACGCACATTTCTCATTGATGGCTAATTTATTTCCAGAATGCATTGTCACTATACACTCATTCTGAATAAATTTGTTTTTTGTGGATGTGAGGTAAAGCAAATCCACCAGATATACCCCTTAAAAAAAACTAAGCGACAAAAAAAACGGTTGATCCTTCATTCAATCTAAATCAATTCCAATTCAGTTTTCCTGGTTCGAAATATAGAAATGGGCTGATCTCAACTTTGAAGGACACCCTTTATGCAAGTGATTTGTAGCATATGAAGTGTGTGTTATGTCATATATGATAGCAGGAACAGTAGAAGCAGAGCTATTAAAATCACAAGACCAATGTCCCTGTGGGGAGCCAGCCCACCAGACAGACTCCAGAATCCGGATAGGAAACAGACAGACGGCATTGTGCGGGTGATTTGAGCTGGTGGAGCAAATCAGAAGAAATCTAATTTCCATGTGGTTTCTCCTTGACAACGAAGCAACAAAAAAAATGCCAAACTTTTTGAAAGCGGAGTAAGTGCTTTCACGTGTGAGCAGATGGCTCCAGTTATCAGCCATTACGCAGGTCAGCCTGCTGCCCGGTCCAGGGGGTATTGTCTCTCACAGCAGGGAGATGTGGATTCATTCCATCCATGTCCACCACTCGTAAGCACAAAGAGACCTGTGTGTGGCACTCAGCCTCCCCCTGTCCATTAATCAGTTAATTTACTTACGGGCCCCACTAATGTGAAAAAGGTTGGACGTCATGTGAGGGAAACGTATGTCATACTTTCTATGATATATTTCATTGTGCCAGTACGAGTGTGTGTGTGTGTGAATGTGTGTGTGACAGTACTTTGTGTCTGCGTTTTCTCATTCATCAGGGTTCTGAAAAGAGGCTATTCTTTTTTGTTATTCATCAAGGAAGCCGTGTTTACTATTGAGGAGACTTTTACATTTTATTTTAAGTTCAGTTTTGGTTGTCTGCGGTGTCCCGCTTTGAATGAAAAACATCACATTTCTGTCATTTCTGTACTCAACAGTTGCTGATTACGCATAAGATCTTATTAGGGTGCTTGGTGTTTTGAGGGCAGAAACAAATGAACTCACTGAACAAAAAGCACAGCTTACATTGATACACTTGCTGTAACAATAGTAATCATATCAATAATGATATGTTTTTAAAAGATTTGGTACATAGATGCTCACACGAGCCAAAAGCAAAAATAATCTTAACCCTAACCCTAACCCTAAAATAAGAAATACAGCTTTAGAGAACAGCAAAAGAATATCAA